AAAACCTTCCCCAGGCCCCCCCATTTCCCGGCCGGGAGACGGGGCAGGCCCGGCCCCATCCCCGCCCGGCCGCATGGCCTGGGCAGGGACGGGAGGCCTGGACCTCCGCCACCCTCCACAGCCAGAAAACAAAGAGAACCCACAGAGCTCTGCTTTTACATTTTAAGGTAGGGTTCACAAGTTGATCCCACTTTTCAATGGCCTAAACTGCTGTTAATTCCCAGCAATGACCAATAATTGGTCAGGAGAAAAGACTCCAAGCACTTCCCAGCATAATTGGTCAGGAGAAAAGACTCCAAGCACTTCCCAGCAACTCCAACTCCCTTAAAGGTAAAGTAACTCCATGACACAAGTACAGTCTTGAGATTAAATTATAGGGAGAGAAAATCCAAGCATTCCAGAGAAACAGCTGAACATAAGTGAGTAACTTTACATTTTTATTTATCACCCTATTACCCAAGATGGGGAAGGGATTACAGCAACATTGAAAGTAAATGAGCCATTTTAAATCTTATCTAGCTTTTGCAACCCTTGCAGTTATGGTAGCTGCAGCAATAAAATACACATAATGCATTCTTAAAGCAGTTTCTGTCACTATATGCATTACACTGCTGTAGTTTATGATTAACAAGTGGCAGGATACAGAAGTCCAAGGTTTTTACTGTTTAAACGTAAAATTAGAAAAATAGAGCTCGGTTGTCTACAAACTTACAGGAAAAACTTGCACTTCAGATCATTTATTGAAAAAGAGATTCCAGCAGATTAGTCAGCAGTAGCATGCAATTTGTACAAAATCAATCATAATTACATTTTTGTTGTAACAGGCATTTTTAAACTAGTAAGGCTTTCAGGAGCTCAGATCCAAAAATCACATGCTGAACTGTTCAGTGTTGCTTTCTTCTAAATGAACAGCCTGCAAAGAAATCATGTGAGTAGATACGGATATATCTAAAATTAAATTGTTAGACTGCCTTGAAAAATTGTCCATCCAATGTAAGTAAAAAATTAATGGATTAAGTTTAAATTACATGTACCGCAAGAAGTGAAGACTTAGCACTTGTAAGTCTTCTTTAGCTCAATGTGAACAACATGAATGTCACGCAATTCATCTTAGGATTAAGGTGTACTATTTGTTTTCTTCCAGATGCCTTTTAAAATTTCATGTCTACTGTTCCATCCCTTAGTGATACAAACCCCAAACTGAAACAGCTGCTATGTGTGTTGTTACCATTTCAACTGCTCAACAGCCTTACTTCAGGTATTCTGTCCTCATGTTTACTACCCCTGTGTAGTAGCAAATTATACAAGCACTGCTATGTGTAATTTGTACATGTGTTTACCTTTTGCCCTTTAAACGATAAATTAATAAAATCTGGATTAATTTTTACATTTTTTAAATCCTAAAGTGTTTCCAGTGCTTTTCATACACCCTAGACACTGGGCTGCACTCAAAGTTATTGGTGTTATACCACTTATCTGTGTCTACATTATCAGTGGTTATTTCTTCCCTTATAATTTATATGAAACAAATTTTCTTTGAGCCAGGGAACTGCTTTACAGTAGGGCTGCTTAAAAACAAACAGGCAAGCCAACAAACAGGCACAGAATTACTTTAGCCTGGCAAAAGTACCCTACTCCTTTGATGGTGCTTTTTTACACTCTAAACATAACTCAGAGTTAAGCAGCAGTATTTTTTACTTAAGCTGAAGGGAATGACAAGTCACCTAAAATGAAGTGTGTTTGATGACAATGTAGGTGTTTAGCTGCCTGGCATATCTGTAGAGCCATTTAAAAACATTTAAAACCATTTAAAAACAAAGAATTTGAAGAAAAACTCACAATTCTGGGCCTATTTCTACTAGTCAACCCTAGGCAATTTGCAAAATCAGTGTTCCAGTATCAGTGTCCAAAATCAAAGGTAAAATATTTGCAGGCTATAAAATGCATTTATGTAAGTGGCATATTTAGGTTGTGTAACACTGTTCTTACCTTCTGTGAGCCTGGCTTTGCCCCCAGTTGGCTGACACAGGACAGTTGAGCACCCTACACATAGAACTACTGTCTGAGCATGGCTGAAGACAGTGGTAATCTTGTAGCATCCTGAAAAACAGCATTATGAAACTTTCCACTGGATATTTCTAGCATATTTTTTTTATGTGTTAATTGAATCAAGTACTCTAAATACACTTGTCCAAAATGCATCTGTATTTCATTACACAACACACCAAGCCAAACGAAGCAAACCATTGTTGTGTTCTGAAGTGCTTGCCTTTACTTACATGCAAAGGAAAGAAAGTTAGGTAACAGAAACTGGTATGACTCCCATATGAAAATCAATAGACCCTACTGGCTGACAATCCCTAATTTGCCTATCACATCTCCTGCACAGAAATTCAGCAGTTATAGATTAGCCTTCTCTGCTGAACAGAAGAACCCATGTAGTTGGGGAAATATTTAACTTGTAACAGTACAATACTGCTGCTGACAAAGTCTGGCAGCTGTGAATATAAACAGTGCTGTTCCAATCTGTGTTTGCTTTCTGTTTAATAATTGGTACCTGTAAGGCTTGGTTGCATTCTACAAAACTAAGATAGTATTTAAATGGAAAGACTTGCACAGAATAACTCCACTAATTCCCTATGAAATGCTTTTGTCTACAACTTACAAATTCTATGACTTAAGAAATAATGAAATCACTCATACATGGCTTAAAAATGTGATTTTCACTGCTTTTCAGTTTTTTTCTCCTGAAAAGTGTTTTTAATTATTCAAGAGGTATTTTTGGAGGGAGAAAACCTATAAAGAATTTAATCTGGATGTGAATATACAAAATAAACAGGTAAAGGTGAGCAGAGACAGCATTTTCAGCACATGTGGATCAGAAAGCTAAGATAAGAATACATGTTGTGAGGAGGGTCCTCTGACAAAAGGTCTGCTTGCTAGGGAGAAGTACTAATAGACAGAATAACAGATCTCTGTTTAAATCACAAAAAGTAACTGTACAAATCTTTGTTTGTGAAAAACTGCTAACAGCTAAAATTTAGTCACAGCAAATTTTGGTTTTCCCCTACTGAATGTGAACTTGCATGTTGATGAGTTTTTAACGTTTGTGGGTTTGGCAGGGAAACGAGCCCAACCCACTTGAGTATCTAGGTAGGAACTTCCAATTCCACTGACCCAGGGACACATAAAACCATTTGTTATTTTCAATGACGTGTGCATGGGATCCTATCATTACTGAAGCATTCCTGCTTTACTCTATATATCCCTCAAACACAAAAAGCAATTAATCCAACAATAATGAAGATAACCAATGACCTATGGGCCTATGTTGACACTAGCTGTATCACAATATATGCATTCATGTATACTGGTTTGAAGTGTAAAAAACCCCCCCAAAACCCCAGAGGCTTAGCCTTCAACCCTCTATTTGTTTAAAAGCAACCACAATTTACTTTCAAGCTGTTTAAATTAATTTACCTCACTTTCAGATGGAATACAATGTCTCAGAGCTTCTTAGAAACCTAGGCTACTAAGAAAGAATAAGATAACAAGAAAACCTGAGCACATCAACAATTCCCTGCTTCGAAGTCAGGAATATTCACTATTGTAAGGAAGTGTTTTCTTACTCCTAGAATCTTCTTATGTTGCCGCAGCTTCTAGGAAGTTACCACACTGGGCAATAGTGGATGGAACCGTGCTGAATAAAAAAGCTGTCAGAGCACACTCCTGTAATGGTGCTAGAAAATCCCATCATTTAATTTATAAAAAAGAAATTGATTATACAGATGTCTCTGAGCCAAAGTAATGAAGATCCGTGAAAAGTGGGCGTAGGCAACATCTTACAATCCTTGTATACGAGCTTAGTTCTTAATAGTAACATGCAAAAAAGGCAGATGTGAAGGTTTTATTTTCTATGTGTATGTGCAGTATCCCCGCATATATCCTTGTCAAAAGCTTTTCCTGTTGCTCTTCAAAAACTAACTTACAAAAGGAGAAAAACTATGTTGGCTCCTGTTTGATACCTGTGCTATGGATGCTTTAAGGCATCCATTTAATCTCACTTTTTATAAATGCAAATCTAAGGGTTTGCAAGGGTTTTATAAAGGAAAAAATCCCAACTAAAGAAGCCCTCATGCCAGTACCTCCAGAAAAGCCTGACTGTTTACATTAACTTTCTCCAAAGATAGAAAACACTTTTATTTTTAAAAAACCCAAAGCAATATACACTTTTCTCTACAGAATAGACAAACCAAACGCAGATTTAAAAAAAAATAATTATTAACCGTTATATGAAGATGAACAGTGTACAACATCAGTTTTGTTCCTTCCATAACGCATGACCATTGTAAATATTTAAATAAATGCTTAATAAATAAACTTAATTTAAATAAATGTTTAAATATTTACCTGGACATTTTACATCCATAAAGTAGGAGTTTGGGCTCTGGACAAGACGTTTCTTTTTGTGCTTTCTCTTCTCATCCTCTAAGGAGGGATGCACTAGGTCTTTGGCCAGCTGGGTGGGGCAAGAGGAAAAGCGCACTGCCGCGTTCCGCGGCCACGTGGAGCGGGGCCGCAGGGCCGGAAGCAGCGGCGAGCCCGAGCGGCCGGATACCGAGGGCAGCCACTCCGCTCCGTCACCCCCTGCCCCCCAAAATCCCCGCGGCGGCCGATGGTAGCACCGGACACGGTGCAGCAGACCGTAAAAAACTCACCGGCATGTCCGACGCCGGGCCGCCCCTTCCGCGCGCTCCCGCTAGGCGCGCCGCCGTGTCCGTGTCGTGTGCCTGTGTCGTGTGCTTGTGTCGTGTGCCTATACCGTGTGCCTGTGCCTGTACCGTGTGCCTGTACCGTGTGCCTGTGCCTGTGCCTATATCGTGTGCCTGTGCCGTGTGCCTGTGCCTGTGTCGTGTGCCTGTGCCCTGTGCTGTGTGCCCGTGCCGTGTGCCTGTGCCGTGTGACTGTGCTATGTGCCTGTACCGTGTGACTGTGCCGTGTGCCTGTGCCTGTACCGTGTGCCTGTGACTGTGCCGTGTGCCTGTGCCTGTACCGTGTGCCTGAGATC